AGAGAGAGAGAGAGAGAGAGAGAGAGAGAGAGAGAGAGAGAGAGAGAGAGAGAGAGAATCAATGGATAAAACAGATTAGTTTTAAGGAATTGAATCACACAATGAACAGAGGTTGAGCAGTGATCTGCCATTTCTAAACCTGATACCCAGGAAAGTTATGTGTGCAAAGTAGTGTGGACACAAAAGCCAGAGAATTAGGGTATCTGATGGTTTAGATGATCCTAAGGGAAGGAAGAAAATGATGAAATGATGCCCCATATCCAGGGACATCAGTAAGGCAGAAAATCAAATTCACTTTTCCTTCATCTGGTAGAAAACCAAATTTGCTTTTCTTTTACTTTCTTTCCTATCACTGTTCTCCCAAATTCAGTGAAGCCCACTCACTTTGGGACAAGCATTCTGAGTTACTTAGTCTGTTGTTGTACATGCCAGTCTTGTATTGGCATGTCCTCACAGACATACCCAGATAGAAAAGTGACACATGCTATGAATTCTTTTCTTTTTCCTTCCTTTCTTCTTTATTTAGAGCTGGAAATTGAACCTAGGGCCTTGCACATACTAGGTAAGTGTTCTACCACTAAGCTGAAGCCCTCAGTTACAATTAATTTTCATGATGGTTTGTACTCATGTTCTGTAATGCCCACATTTTAATTTTAACTCCTTATGATTTTGATAATATTAACATCCTGAAAAGTCTCTCCCTTCTTTTTCCTTTATGTACTTCCGGTATATTCTGTGAGTGATGTTTATAAAAGTTAAATCCAAATAGTGACACATATTGGTAGTCAGTACAAAGGAGGTGAACATGGGGGATGATTTGAGTTCAAGATTTTGTGAAACATGGCAGGGCAATTTCTCAGGAAGTAGAATATTTAAACAAGTTCATATTTCTTTGGTCCAAATTTCTGAAATTTCTTTCTAATTTCAATGTGACAAAAACATCAGTATTCATAAAGGCTTCCAGTTTCTAGTCTCCACTTCATCTAACCTCTTCATAATCTGTTCTCCGTCTCTCCTTCCTACAAGTTCATTGATGATTCCTGTATGCAACAATTACTAAAACTGGAACTTGATATAAAAATCATGATTATTTTTATTTCTGCCATTCCTTGTATATTTTTTAGTTGACAATCTTTCTTATAAAGAAAAACTCTCATTCCCTTTCCTCTAAGAGTAATATTGTGGAATCTTAAATTCTGTTTTTATTAAATGAGTTATAATTTGTTACTGGAGGTTTTTTTGTGTGTGTTATTGTTGTTGTTATTTTATTTTGATTGAACCCTGGTC